TGATGATGGTAAACATCGCTTTTGAACTCATGGTCTACCTATCAGATGAGCATATTCTATGCCTCCACTTATCTGCGTTTAAAACCTGCCTAATCATTTTTTTTCTTATTCAGTTGGCCCACACCGTCGTAATGTCGCTAAATTTTGCTAGTGCTTGTCACCTTATCCGTCAGGTTGCCCAGCAACAGCAAATATGGGAGCCTTAAGTCTCTATGAAGACAATTTTCAAAAGAATAGGCTACTTTATGAGATCCTATAATTTAGTGCACTTTTTGCCAAATGATGCATCTTTCAACTTGCAAGTTTGCACCGTTAAACATTGCTCAAGTTTTTCCATGCAAATTTTCTACGTCTTAAGTCTTATTTCTCCCTAGTTTGCAACCGACAAACTTTTCATTAGCAAATCGTTGATGAATCAATCTTACGGAAGACATAAAACGAAACTTATAATGTCACCGCCGCAAACATTATTTTATTATTATTTAAACAAACAAGTGCTATTCACGAGAATTGGAACTTCGGGGAGCCTACAAGCCTGATCGAGAGCTGTTGTTCAGAAAACCTCATAACTAAAGTTCATCTTTCATTTTTTTTTTTCAGAAAAAAAAAAAAATTTCGTCATTAAGTCCCAACTGCTTCATATCGATAATTAAAATAAAAATTTTCCATAAGTATTTTCAAAGTTGCGTTACATAACAAATTTTCCCATTCTTATTATTCATATCAGTTAATCTTGTTTAAGTTGAAACGTCTACACATCGAATAAACCAAGCATAGAGAGTCCTTTGATTAAGTTCGAGATCTTCTCATGGCTCCACTGGATAAGGGCAGTGATCGAGTTATGAGAAAATTCCTGTGACTGTTTCCATATTGCTTGTATAGCATCTGCATCGTTTATTGGCGCTCAATACTACAGTTATTCCAGGTATAACGCAAGAGAGACCCAGGTGTATGCGCATGCGTTTCACAGCGGATCAGTGATAGTTTGCATGATTCTGGAAAGAATGAAAAAGTAAAATCACAAGGATCTAGAATTACAAGAGAAGAATCTTTTCGAAGGGATGGCAGAGAGAATTAACTAATCCAGTACACAGAAATTATTCTGACAGCCTTTGACCTATTTTTGTTTCAGTAATGGGTCATGTGATCTCGTGTGGCTTAGACCTGATCTCATCTGGAAAAGGAATCCACACAGATCAAGAGCTGAGGAGCAGCTTGGTATCCCTTGAAGGGTTAGCTGCCAGGAGTAACATCACAAACAGAGAGAGACTGCATGTCAAAGCAGTCAAAGAATGGGCACAAGGGTGAGTGTTACCAAGATGTCATGTCAATCACTGAGACAAAATTTTGACTTTTATCAAGTATTTGTCAGTTCCTTTAAGACGCGTCTATCTGAATGGGCGACTAATCATATTTTTAATGGTTGTGAAATGAAGTCATATACGTGAACTGTGGATTAAGAATTGAGCACTACAGTAATTAAGCGGCAATAAAAATAAAGTGTTCACAAAAATTTCTAGGCCTGTGCGGGCTTTGAATCCTTGATCTCTGAGATACTGCAACGCTTTAAACAGATTGTTCCTTTTGAACAACGTCTTTATTTATAATCACAATTTAAATTATAAATTAAGACTACCTGCAATATAGCGAAGCTAATCGAAGCAGGTAGTATGGGAACGCAC